TTTTTAATTGTAACATAATGCTTCATTGTGTGTATGTTACTGACCTATTTTTATGATTATAAAAACTTTTTTAAATCTGAAAAAAGTTGAGTTGAAACATTTTCAGAAGAGAAATAGGAGGTAAAGAAAACACTTAGGAGATTACTACAATATTCTAAGTAAATTCTAATAATGACAGCTTGAATTGAGACTAAGAGATATGTCAGCTAATGTAATTATAAAAAAAAAAAAAAAATCAGTTTGTAATTATCTTGTTTACCAGGTGGGAACAAGAAAGAACTATGAGAGGAAAGGCCCCATGTGGATGACTAGGGAGATCAGGAAGCTGCCTCTAGAGAAAGTGAACAGAAGGAAGCAAAAAATAGTTTATTGAGGAACTTTCTTATCTCCCACTCGTTTTCTAGTTCCCCATCTTCTTACCAGTTGCCATGTTATATGAACCTGATGGCAAATATTTCCCGAACCCACCCAGTTTTATCTATTCCTGCCATCACTATCCCAATTAATGCCCCATTATCCCCCTCTTGCACTGCTCTCCTTAGACTTCATCCAACACTACTGTCAAAGTCAAGATGGTTCACATGGCCAATGCTCACTAGTATACACTCTACATCTGCTATGCGTCAGCTGCTGGGTTTGCCTTAAACATATGTTGTTATATCAATGAATCTTGACAAAAAGCCACTTTTTGTTTTTGTCACTTTGGTGAAATTATTCAACTTTGCCCTATAAGTCAGTTTCCTCTCCTGTAAAATGGGGATATTAGCATCTGCTTCATGCATCTGTTGTGTGGAAAGTATTAACGAATGTTAATCCTTAGCGTGATGGTGTCATATAGTAAGCACAAGAAAGACAGCATTAATTCGCATGAGTGCTCAACCATACCCACAACTACCTCTGCAGCCTGTCCAACATCACAACTTTCTTGCCTATTATATATTTCTGTACTCCTGTTTTCATATCTCACTGCTTTAACCCATAATGCTCTAACTACAAAGCCTTCCCTGATATGTCTATCTCCATACATGTAAATTCTCCTCACATTTATAGGTCCCACTCACATGAAAATATTGCTATTTTTCCTATCTAGTAGCAATCTCTCACCTGCCTCAATTGCCACAGCATTTTATATGTAGCTACCATTTAACACCTTTCTCTTGAATTTTATTTTTATACATGTTTGTTTACATGCCTTATACACATGGCTTATATACTTATAGGTATATACATCTTCACTTCTAGGCTCTGAGCTTTTGTAGAAGTTGTGAGCAGGACCAATTCTTTATCTTTTATAAAATCTAAAATTATTTTTTTTAATGTATAATAGACACAGCAAAAACATTTGTTGAGGTCTCTGCTAGATACTTTCCATTTGTCCGTCCAAATTCCATCCTGCTATCTGTGCCGACAGCAGACAATGGAGAGGTACAGGCAAAAGATCAGAGGAAGGAAGGAGAGAGAAGTCAGGCTCTGGCTCTCTCATCTGAAGAGTCACATTGAGCTGGCTTCATCCCTTGAGTGAAGGTCACTGCTCCACTCAAGGTGGCCACATCTATAGGACCCTCTCTTTTCAAAACTCAGTAACTGCTCTATCCATTTGTCCATCTGGGCCTAAGGGTTCCTAGCCCTAAGGAACTACACAGCCCCCACATTTGTAAAGAGTCTCTTTATTAACCCTCCCCCTAGAATTATCCATCCTACTGCTTCCCCACCTTGCTGGGACCATCTGCTAAAAGTTCACAGAGAATTTTTAGATAAAGAGGATAGGATTGGAAAGTAACTCCTTAAGGTCTGTCTTATCAACCAAGTGAGAAGAAAAGTCTTCACTTAGACTGAAGAAGACAATAGTGTGGTTGGAGGCTAGAGGAAATTTAAAAAGGATTAGAATAACTGCTGAAGAAAATGCTTTAGGAAGTTAGTTAATGGTGAATAAAGGGTAGCATAACAGCATGGAGGGCTTAATCGCACAGAACTCAATTGGCAAGTTCTCCTGAATTTCTCCAGCAGTGCTTAGCAGAACAAGATCAAGAGGGTTGTTAAAAGAAAAAAAAGCAAAGCAAAACAAAACAAAAGTGATAGGGTTTAACCAAATTGTAAATTATGGATCATTAAAGAATCATGGGATCCAAAGGTACTAGAAGGGTCATAGCCAGAACCCAGGTAAAGGTTCAAAGGGAGGCAAGTAAAGCCAAGAAGAGGTTAGTGGGTAATCTTTCACTTTTAGTCCATTTGGAAGAAACATCAATTAGACTAATCGTGTAACATTACTGATAACAAAAGCACAGTGACTGCATTTTTTTATCTTTTTTTTTTTAAGATTTTATTTATTTATTTGAGAGAGAGAGAATGAGAGAGAGCACATGAGAGGGGGGAGGGTCAGAGGGAGAAGCAGACTCCCTGCCGAGCAGGGAGCCCGATGCGGGACTCGATCCCGGGACTCCAGGATCATGACCTGAGCCGAAGGCAGTCGCTTAACCAACTGAGCCACCCAGGTGCCCGTGCATTTTTTAATCTTATAACCAGACATGACTCTGCTTACTTGCAGTTTAGTTTATGTGCCAAAAGTTAGGCTGCCTATACTTTAAACTACCTTTTTAGATAATAGGATTTGGATAACATTCTTGTTATTATTCAGAAATTCCTCTTTGGGCTCCCTCTGAAAATTTGATTTTGAAAACACACATTTCACTTTCTAGAATTTAAATATTTATAACGTCCTTTTCATTTTGCTTCAGTTCTTACTTTGCTTTCAAGAATTTGCACTTCTGACAAATTAAGAACAACAACCAGATTTTAGACCTTGATGTAAAATAAGCACAAGGGAAAGGAAAAAAAAGAGAAAAAATGCAAAATAATCACATGAACAAAACAATCCAGTTCTTGATTGCAATATGAAAACAGGAGAAACTGCTGTCCATGCTACACAAAGGTTGCCAAGGGAACAATACTTGTACATTTCCTGGTTCTCAAAAAATATACCAATGTAATATTTGTGTCTGTCTCTTTTCTTTTCCTTTTGGAAATCTCAACCAAAAATCTACTCTCAACTTGTGAGTTCTTTGTGATTCACTTCGTAAATTCATTCTTTACTGCTCATATCACAGAATTTACCAAGCAGGCAACATATAAAAAGGCACTGATTTTTTTTTTTCTCCAAAAGTTATGACTGCAAGATACAATGAAAATTTCTGCTCTCCCTGCAGCCTCTAAAAATAGTAAAATATAAAGTGGTTCTGCCTCCAAGTATCTTTCATTTTTGTTAACTCTCTTTCTACTTTCAGATTATAAGCTCCTCCAGGGCAAGTACTAGATCTACAATTTTTTTATGTAATTCCCCACAGAAATTACAACAGGTCTAAACCCAGAGAGAGAAATAAATCTTTTCAGCTATTAAGTATGTATAAGATTAAAGAGCCGTTTTGGAAATTGTGAATTGTTTTTTTTCTTTTCAATTTTTGCAACAAACTCAGGTCTTACAAGTTTACCATCAGTAAATAACCACAGCTAAGAAAAAAGCTGCAGAGGTAAAAGTGTTTTTATTCCATCCGAGGTACTATGTGATGCTCCCCCATCCAGGTTTGAAACATGTAAGCGCAGACGGAAAGGGATTGGCCACTTACTCCTTTAGTGTCTATTCTAGCCATTCCCTCCAGCTGGTGGATGTTGCCGTTCATTTGTGCGACAAATTGAACCATATGGATTAGTCATGAATAATTTTAAGACTATAATTAGGGATTTACTAAAACCAATATTAAATCATTAAGCCTATCCGCTCAAGACATATACTGTTTTTGAAACGAAAATTATTAGTAATAAGACAAATATAAATTAATTTATCTGTCAAATATAGACACATGGATTTGCTAAATATTTATTAAACATTGATATAAATGTACCATATTTAGTGGGTGTACAGTTTAAAAAGAAGACATCTTTACTTTCAAGAAGCTTAAAACCTACTAATACGTTTTCTTGGGAAAAAAATATTTACTCTCACTCTATTATCCTCATCTCAGTGTATAAGAATTTCAATTTTAGATACTGTTAAAGACAAGAGGCCCAATGCTAAGGCCCACATCACCAAATCGAGACTTAATTTTAGTTTCTGTTCTCCCAGAAATGGAACCTTAAACCAGTCAATCAAGAATCACCTAATCAAGGGCGCCTGGGTAGCGCAGTCGTTAAGCGTCTGCCTTCGGCTCAGGTCATGATCCTGGAGTCCCGGGATCGAGTCCCGCCTCGGGCTCCCTGCTCGGCGGGGAGTCTGCTTCTCCCTCTGACCCTCCCCCCTCTCATGTGCTCTCTGTCTCAAATAAATAAATAAGATCTTTAAAAAAAACTGGGGAGGGCGCCTGGGTGGCTCAGTTGGTTAAGCGACTGCCTTCGGCTCAGGTCATGATCCTGGAGTCCCGGGATCGAGTCCCGCCTCGGGCTCCCTGCTCGGCGGGGAGTCTGCTTCTCCCTCTCTCCCCCCACCCCCGCTTGTGTTCCCTCTCTCGCTGTCTCTCTCTGTCAAATAAATAAATAAAATCTTAAAAAAAAAAAAAATCACCTAATGAGTACTAGTGAGGTAATCTGCCCAAAAAGCCCCACACATTCCCTAAAGTAAGTAAATTTGTAATAACCAACTGGAAATTTTGGCCTAGTCTTCCTGCTTCCTTCTGCCTCTAAAAGTCTTTCATTTTTACAACGCCTCAAAACTCCTTTCTATCTGCTAGACCGGATGCTGCCCGATTCAAATCCATTTTTACTCAAATAAGAAATCTATTTTGAAGATTTATTTATTTACCTTTAGAGAATGAGAGGGAGGGAGAGAGCGAGTGGGGGAGGGGCAGGGGGCGAGGGAGAATCTTAAACCGACTCCACACTGAGCTGGAGCCCTGGGGCTCAATCCGTGACCCTGAGATCACCACCTAAGCTGAAGCCGAGAGTCTGAGCTTAACCGGCTGTGCCACCCGGGTGCCCCAGACCCTTAACGTTTTTAACGTTCCTCGGTTTACCTTTTAACAGTTCTGGTGTAAGAAGCTGGAAACCCAGACGCCCAGAGGCGCGCCGGAGGAAGCAAACGTGGGTACCCGTTGAGCCCCTGCAGCCCGCCGCGTTGCCGCCGCCTGGGGACGCCGTGGGGAGGTCCGTCTCGAATCCTCCACAGCTTTTGCATTAGGAGCTTCTAGACTCGGATCGGAGCGTTTCTTTCCCTGGACTGGGTGCGGAAGCTGGCACAGTCGGACTGCGTCGACTTGGAAACCAGACTCGGTCCAGGGCCGGAACGGGTCCGACTTGGAAAGCAGATCAGTTCCGGGGTCAGACTGGGTCCTACTTAGAAACCAGACCCGCTCCAGGTCAGACCCTGAAGGAGTTAAGCTGGACTGGGGGGCCTATGTGAGGCCTCAGGTGAATAAAGTACTGTCTTAAGGCTGAACAAGCAGGTTAACCTTGCCAAAAATAATCTTGAATTACAGTGGCCGCAGTGGAGGACTTTTAACCTAGATAAACCCAACCATTTACGAGGTGCCCTAGAGAAAAAGGGATCTCAGCCAAGGACTCACTATAAAGGGTCGAGGGAAAACTGTTTTTCCTCCTCTACAGTTTCTGGTGACCAGGATGAGACCCACTGAAACACAAGACTCAGTCCAGAGCCCACAGAATCCTGGGAAATGGCAGAAGCCAGCAAAAGGTAAGGATTTTTGTCAAAGTCAGCTCTCCCAGATCTCTGTCTGTGGTAACTGGTCCAGAGAGGAAGGTAGAATTTCATGTTGCCCCTTCCTTTCAGATTGGCGGACAAAAACCCTGAAAATTCAATATTTGAATTGTGACTTGTGAATTTGCTTTCCGGTGCCCGCTGGTTGCCGATCCTTTCTCTCCCAGGGACAGCTATTGCCTTCTTGTTGTCTCATTTTGTGTCCTGAGAACTTGACTTGGTTTTCTGCCTGACTGGGACGTCCAGGTTCATGTGTGTGCAGGCAGCTCAAGCGTCACATTAGGGACCCCAAAATACTGCTAGACGGAAATACGGGTTGCACTCCATTTGCAGCCGGGGTCTTAAAGACGGTAGCCGCTTTGGGGGGAATACTCTAAATCTTTCTTTCGGTTATCTTTGGAAGTGGCTCTGGATCTTAGGAGAGTAGTGTCTTTTGCACCTTCTTTGCTTCCGTAGGGTTCTTGAATACTGTCAGGAATATTTACTGTTTGTTTCTGCTGAAACCTGACAAGATATTCCGAAGAATTTTTTTTTAAGAGAAAACATGTTGATCAATTTACTTTAACTCCTTAATATAGGCAAATCAATATAACTGGCTTGACCCACCCTTGGCTGGTAGTTGGAGAGACAGGCCAAAGTCCAAGTCATTGTCTTTGGACTTATTCCCATGGTGGGGTGGCTGGTTAGAGCTAAGATAGAAACAAAGATTCATCAGTATTCTCAATACCTGATTTTGGACCACTCCCACCCCCCAATTTTAATATCTATACCAATTAAAGCATATAATCACTTATCATCATATATATCTGACTTTACAAAGGACCAAATCGCACTTTTTAGTTAGTGTAGGAAAGATCATAAACTTTGGGTTAAGTCAGGGGATTCAGTTTCCAGGTAAGTGAGTGAGAGCAAGTTACTCTTTGAGAACCAGTTTTATCACCTGCAAAATGGGGAATAATCTCAACCTTGCACGATTATTGTGAGGTTTAAATGCAATAAACTCTTCCATGGTAAGCACTCGGTGATGGAGAGAGATTAGTTCTGACATCTTTTTTGTTTTAATTGACGTATAATTGACATACCATTACATTATCTTCAGGTGCACACCATGCTGATTCGATATTTGTATACATTGGGAAGTATCACCACAGTAAGTCTAGATAGCATCTATCTCCACACATAGTTATAATTTTTTTTCTTGTGATGAGGACTTTTATGCAATATAGTATTTTTAACTATAGTCACCATGCTGAACATTACATATACCTGACTTATTTTATAACTGGAAGTTTGTACCTTTTGACCCCCTTCACCCATTTCACCCAACCTCCCCCCCAACCCATACTCCTACCAACCACCAATGTATGTTCTCTGTATCTGTGAGCTAATTTTTTTTTTAGATTCCACATATTAGTGAAATCATATGGTATTTGTCTTTCTCTGACTTACTTCACTTCGCATATTGGCCTAAAAATTCATCCCTGCTATCACAAACGGCAAGATTTCATTCTTTTTTATGGATGAATAATATTCCATTACACACACACACACACACACACACACCATCATCATCTTTATCCATTTATCCATCAGTGGTCACAGGTTTTTTCCATATCTTGGCTATTATAAATAATGCTGTAATGAACATGGGATTGCAGATAGCTTTCTGAGTTAGTGTTTACATTTTCTTCATATGGATACCCAGAAATGGAATTGCTGGATCATATATTTAATTTTTTGAGGAACCCCCATACTGTTTTCCATATTGGTTGTACCAATTTACATTCCTACCAACGATACACAAGGATTCCTTTTTCTCCCCATACTCACTAACACTTGCTATTTCTGTTGTTTTTGATAATAGCCACTCTAACAAGTGTATGGTGATATCTTATTGTGGTTTTAATTTGCATTTCCCAGATAATTAGAAAAAGATTTTTTTTTAAGTAACTCTATGGTCAGAAATTGGCTACATTGTAAATAAACTGGTATTTACAGCCTGATAGGAACTTGTTTTTAGGCCTTCTTCCCAAAACTAAAATAAAACTATGTACCTAGAATGGAGAAAAAGATTTCGAAGGCTTTGTGGAAGGATTTACTAAGACATTCCAAAAATACACACTTCTAAATCTAGAACATAGGAATCTTTTTATTGTCATTTTATTGAAGATCTCCCTGATATAAACAAGCAAATTGAGGATAATATAGTTGGACAGGTGGGGCAGCCTCTTAAGATCATTCAGGTTGCAACCCAATTCTTTGAGGAATTAAAAACTATGGTACTTGTCTTACAAATCTAGTTTTTACAAGAACAGACACATGGCTGTAGGAATAATTCAAAGCCACCTATCTTTTTCACTAATCCTGAAACCTCTCCTGTTCATCTCAGAAGGCTTGCAGGTATTGTAAAATATCAGGATTTAAGGAACAAAAGTCTTTCTTGTTGGAGCTTACATTCTTTCTGCCTTCACATACATTCTTCCTTTTCAGATGTAACTGGTCTTCTCCAGAAATTAAGGTAATTTTTATCAGAAAGGGGAAAAAGGAAAGCCTATTTTGAAAACTAGGCCTATGAAAAATTTTAAACGTCTCTTCCACAAATATTAGTAAGAAGCTAAAATTTTAATACAGAAGCTGTAAGATCTGTCTTGGCATCTGTCTGTATGTGTATGTATGTCTGTGCATGTATATTACAAATGTGTGATTTTTTTTCCCATGGCTGGATGGCATTGCCAAAATTAATTTGTAAAGAGCTCTATTTAATTGGCTTAAAGACAAACAAGTGTTGTTGCAAACCAAGTATACTCTGAGAAATATAGAAAGTTAATCCAAATGCATCTCAAGTTCGTGTGATCTAGGTAGGGTAATCTTCAGTAAATAAAAATTAGTTTAAGTTTGTCGGTTTAATTAAAACAGGCATGTCTTTAGAGTTATCAGCATTAATTATAATATTTTTATTCTATCTAGGTTTACTAAAAGTCGAATATGTTATCTCTATTGTAGAATATGGTAAGAAAGGTAACTTAAGGTAATGGTTAGCTGTTTAACATCTCATGAAAATTTCACTAAGCATAATTGTCAAGAACTAGAAAATTATTGCAACAGAGGAGAGAAATCAGGCTTAACTCCAAATATAGCAAAGACAGCTGGGGATTTATAGCCAACAAGCAGAATGAAGGGGTTAGTGTATGGAAAATTACTAAGAGAAATCAAGGGCAGGGGGGAGTCTTGCTAACCTGACTTAACAGAATTCTTACTGAAGGGAAGCCGGGATTATCAGATATCAAAAGTACAGGATAAGGAATTTGATCAGATATCGAGGGTAGAAGGATTCTCCCTAACCTGATTTAAGCAGGTATTTTGCTACAACTGGATGAAGCCTAGCCAAAAAGAGGGTTCAGAGGGGCCTGTTTAGTTTGGTCAAAAAGAGAGTCTTTATCTATTGATGCTACTTTGCTAAATTATTGAGTCAGAGGTTCAGGGGGGTTAAGGGGGGGTTCAGAGACGTTCAGAGCAGCCTGTCTAAAGTTTGGTCAAAAAGAGAGTCTCTGTCTATTGATGCTACTTTGCTAAATTATTGAGTGTCAGAATATCTTGAACTTAACTCATTTGATTATGAAGGCAATCATGCGCAGTGTACCCAACCCACCCATTCTTGGGCGGCTTGGGTAAGGCACTTCTCTGCTTAGGGCAACTTTACTCATCTGCAAAGTAGGGACGGACTATACCTGCCTTACTGGACTCTTTGTAGCACATGAGAAAGTAGATTGAAAATGCCTTGAAAACTCTAATTTGCTATGCATGTACGAGGTGCTTTTATTGCCGAGGATGCCTGTCTCTTCCTTATTTCAATGAACTCAAAGCATGAGTAGCTTGCTGCCTTCTGGACCACAGACAGAAAAGGCCATTACCTCCTATAACTCCCTGTGTATTTTGTTAACACCTCTATTGCAGCCTTTATGGTTTTGTGTTGCAATTATCTAGTTACACAGCTTTTCGTTCCACCACTCTTTTCTCAAGACAGGCAGCTTACGTCAATTTTCTTTGTGTTCCCAGTGCCTGTGGCACATATTTGGGCTTCAATAAGTATGTGCTGAAAAGACAAATAGTTATTTCTTGGTTCCAAGAACATCTACTAAGAGTTCTTTGTTTCTCTAGTTTTCCTGAAGCGGCATCCCCCAGAAACCAAAGAAAGTCTTTTCCTGGCTCTCCCTTTAGTCTATTAGTAAATGAAGTCACATAGCACATGGAATTTATGTTCTAGAAGAGCATGTGAAAAAAAATTACATATAGTCAAAACTGTGTTTTGTAAAGGCTTTCAGTGGCCTTTTATCTCTCTTTTGCAACCTTTCTTTCACTGGGTCAGTGAAAACGAACAAACAAAAATGAAAAAAAAAATTCCCATAAGCAATCTT